CAGCACTCGAGCAATTTATTGCTTAGCTGGTGACTTTTCTGGATAAGAATACACTAATATTCTTAATTAAAGCTTTTTGTTTTGTCTAGCTGTGTGTACGTGCCATGGCTGCTCTGGAGACTATTGGTCCCCTAATGACTGGGATGAAGGGTCGTGCAGACATGGCTGGATTGGCTTGTGAAGCTCTCAACCGCATGTTCCAGAAGGAGCAGACAGAATTAGTGGCCCAGGTAAAATGTTTCCAGTTTTTGTATTTTTTAAATTTTCTAACAACATATGTGATGACCATGTAGCCTAAATAGTATAGCATTTTTGTTAATGATCTGAACAGGCTCTAAGAGTGGAACTGGTTCCATACCTGCTGAAGCTACTGGAGGGAGTTGGCTTGGAGACTTTAGACAACCCCTCAGCCACCAAGGCCCAGATAGTAAAGGCTCTCAAGTCCATGACTCGCAGTCTGCATTATGGAGAGCAGGTATAACTGGGTGATGTGGCTAACAGGATTATCAACCAAATAGTACTGTTATTTATGATCTAATTAAATAATTCTTAAAGTGCCCATGGCATGCTCATTTTGCTCATTTCCAGCCATTTAATGTTTAATCTTGGGTAGCTCTAAATTAGCTTGGAGGAGAGAAAATATACCCACAAAATTAGGAGCAGTTGAAAAATTCTGCTTTTACAATGGCACCGGTGGATGTCAGGGAAGCTCCCATGAACTCTCGATGGCCTAGATTTTATGACCATTCAAGGAGATCCTTATATTATCATGTAATACTTTATTTTGGTAGAAAAAGTCCTGCAAGTGAGACTTTACGAGATGTTTATAAACCCAGTTGGTTCTGCATAGAAATACTAGAACATACGTACACCTCATTTTTTGAGCTTTAGGTCATGTCTAAGATGAGAATTCACCCTTGTAACATTGTAGACAAGTCAAAAAACAAGGAAAAGCATGCAGTAGGCCCTTTAAAGATTCCATTGTGCTTGTTATTTATTCAGTTTATACATTCTGCACTTGTTGCAGGTGAATGAGATTCTAGCAAGGTCGTCAGTGTGGAGTGCATTCAAAGACCAGAAACATGATCTCTTCATCTCTGAGTCTCAGACCGCAGGCTACCTGACAGGTACAGTTATTTCTAGAAATGAGATGGCATCACAAAACTTGACATTTTCTGAACAAACAAACCTGTTGAGTCTTTAAAAGGTAAGTCTTGAGTGCATTTCTTTGAGCTGTTGTTAAATCCTAATGCTTTGCTTTATCCTAAACACTACCTTGTGGCTGACTCCTCACTTGTGCTTAAACCTAGCAACCCTTTTTTCTCCATGTCCTATAACTTCCTGGCTCTGCCCTTCCCTTCCTCCTTGTCCTCCACATTTCTTCCTCAGGGGTATCGACTCCTTCTCTTCTGGCTGCCAGCAGCCCACTGCGAGGTGGGCTCTAGACTCCTGAGCTGGGCCCTCACAGCCCTCCTCTTTTTTGCTCTGATGCAGGTAGACTTTGACCTTGCTCCTACTGCCATTGCCTACCTGTTTACCTCCATCTGTGTTCCACAATTCATTTCCATTCCAACCTCTCCAGTTTTGCAGTGATGAACATTTAACACTGCCTTCATCTCCATTCTGTATCACACTTGAAGTTGAGAAATTAACAAAAATACCCTGGGAAGTTGAGAGTTAAAACTTTGTGCAAAAATACTCCTGACTTTGTCACAACTGTGGTTGCTGTCCTGTATGATTTGGGATCAGCCAAGGGATTGTGAGAGAAAAAAGCACAGTTTTTGATTAGGAAACGGTAAATCCTGAAATAACAAATATAGCCAGCAATGGAAGAAAAAGCAAGGCCACTCAACAAAATGTCAACCAAAGAATGAATTAAGGGCAGGTTTGCCCTGTACCTGACCCTGTACTTCACTCAGTGTTTTCAGTAATTCATTTAAGAGTTGAAGTTATATTATGTCTGGCTCTTACTGTTAATATGATAGTGTATATAAGATACAAAAAGTGACACAATTGATCGAAATCAATTACACTTTTGGTGTCATGCTACATGTGTTTTGTATAAATGTGACATTAGCCTAAGGAAATGACCCTAAAATTTGGTAAACTAATACAAGACATGTTTAAAGTTTTTGGACCTAAATTTTGGCTTTCTCCAGGAGTTGGTACTAAATCCAAGCTTCTAAGTACTCTTGGGGGTAAAAGCATACAGCAGCAGGTTTGCACACAGCAAACATAGTATTTAAAAATGCACCGCATGAACGTTTATTTTAATGTACAAGCTAATATTCTTATTCAGAATATCAAATGTCTTTTGTTGCAAAGTTGTGAATTTGTGTTAACATTGAGGTAATGTTGGCATTTTCTAAATTATCCAGCATTTTGAGTATTGAGCTACTTTTTCTACTTTGTAACGGGGATTTGCAGCTCATACTTGAAAACAAAATAATAGGGTTAATAATAGGGTTCAATCAAAAAGTTGCTTTATTAGTAAGAAATAGTAAAATAAAATTAGAAAAAGCACCTCTGAATCTACAAATGCAAATGGAAATCAGGGTACCTCTACTCAGTTCTTCACTTATGAATAAAAAAATATATATAATTCTTCCATGTTGAGCATCATTCCATATACAGAAACCTTCCCAAACACTGTCATCCACTCCAGATAAAGAGGCACTTAAGACAGCTTCCACTTCCTAAGAATAATTTATCTGGGCATTATTGCTTCATGAAATGTTAAGCGTCTATTAACTGGGCCTAAATAGGATCATAGCACTCTTTGTAGTGATCTCATCACTTCATACATAAAGTAGTTTGTCTTAGTTTAGTATGGCATTGGAGCTCACCACTAACACTCCAGTTATCTTTATCTCATACCTGCACTGTATCTTATTTACCTCCTGTAGGTCCAGGAGTAGCAGGTTACCTTACAGCAGGAACTGGCACCACGGTAATGCCCAGCGTCCCACCCCCTGTGGACAATGACATTGGAGACCAAGGCTGATGAAAACACACACACACACACACACAGTCACGCTCAGGCACCCAGACTGCCCTGCAGCTTCACAGTTGCAGCTCAGAGAGAAACTGAGCTACTCAGACATGGGGATGAGAGAGAGAGAAAAATGGACGAGAGTGGGCCGTCACTGACTATCACCAAAATCTCCCCCTCCAACACCACCTTCAGTATCGCTCTTGTCTCCCTTTTACAAATGGCACTAAAGTCTTCACAAACACTTCGAAATGATCTCAATTGGTGACCACATATGTTTTGTTTCTGTGCTTTTTTTTTTTCTTTCAATGACACAGAAGAGTTTACTTTTTGTATGAATATATTTTCTACTCGATGTTTTCCATCAGAAAGACATTGGAAAACTGAGGCTTGTTATGTCATTCCGCTTGGTTATATTCTGTTTGACTGCATTTACCCCTAAATCCCAATTGAGTATTTGGTCTCACGTGTGACACATTTGTGCACAGGACCTATCCACTTCTGTCATTTACTAGTCTACATAATGAATTCTCATATGGAAATGGAAACATGTTATATAAAAAAAAAGAAAGAAGGAAATCAAAAAATGGATGTGTATGATTTCTCTGTTCTTTTTCATTACAAGAAAATGACACAGCTCAGGCTGATGCTGTCCACTTGTGTAGGTTGTTTTTTTTTTTTTTTTGGCACAGATCTGCTCTCCACTTGTCCAGCCTTCTATTCCTTTGCTTTGTTCTGCTCTCTCTTTGAAGAATACCCTTTCTGCCTCACATTTTTAAAGTAATTCTCCTCCTCCCCCAAAATGTAAAATGCACTAGTATATTTATAAGCGAATAATTACCACGAAAATGAGCTTCTGCTAAGATGTGATGGATGTTGACCGATTATGAATCATTGTGAAAGACTAGTGCAATTTGTGAACTGTTTAATGTAATATTACACATATAAACTTTCTATATTGAATGTACATTAAAAAAATCAGTTGCACTTGTACATAAAATTTTAAGAAATAAATGGGAACCCACAGTGTTGTTTTTGGTATTTACATGCGTGTTTTTGAAGTAACATTTAAAAAAAAGTGAGCTGTTTGTTGTCCACTGGTTGGACAGGTTTGGTCTTTAGAAAATCAATACATCAAAGTATTTGTTGGAGTTTTCTATGCCTTGCCAGTTGATCATATTAACATGTTAAAAACATGGCTTCTAATGTGAGAGTGCTAAAGGTGCCACAGAAGAAACACCAGATGTTTTACAAACTATATAAAATACTTGGACATTTGACATGATGATAAAATCAAATCTGTAAACCAATTTTTTTTCCCCCCCACCACAATTTTATTTTGGATGAGGCTTTTAGACAATTTCAACTTTATGTTGGGAAATAGAGACAGACTAACTGAATAGTTAACTAAATAAAAGAACAGCTTTAAACTTTCTTTTTGGTGTCTGGACAAATTTTGAGTCATAATCTAATGGTCTTGCAGCTTGATCTAAGATTTGTTCAGACTGCACAGAATTTAATATAGGAGTTCATATTTGATAACTGCAGTCTAATAATAATGAATTTTAGCTTTCATGGTTTTAACTTGAATAGAAATTACAGGTTGTATAGGATGAAACATACAATAAATAAACTCTCAAAACCTATGCTAAACTAGCTTGGTCACTTATGGATACAAATATTTTGTATTTTTGTGTGGTATCAATTCTATAAGATAAATGCCTCTTGTAAGAAAAGATCTTTTTTTCTGGAGAACAAATAGCTGATAAAATATTTGCTGGATAGAACAACAAATTTAAAATGGTTTTATTGATCAGCTTTTACCAGGTATGTGTTAAAACAGGATCATCCTCACAATCCACATAAATTCCATCAAAGCTTAAAACGAAAAGTTTTAAATGTGACTTAAAGTAACTAGCTAGCGCGGACGTGACGTCATGACGCCAGCTCTGTTGCGGATCGTTTTAACGCTGGAGTCCGGCTCCACACGGTCGGATTAGTAGGGAACACAGGATGTTTCGCAAAAGGCGCGAATAATATCAACAAAGAGTAGCTAGTTGGGTTCTAACTTAGCTAGCCTAAGCTATGCTCGTTAAGTTATAAAAAAAAAATGTATGTTACTTTTTCAGTGCTCTATAGACTATATGCTTGTTTAAAATATAATCGGTTCGAAAGTTAATTTCAGTTAAGTTGACGCAGGCTTTGTCTAAACAATACTATAACACTGACTGTAGCGTTAAATAAACTTGTTCACAAGCCATAGTGACGTTAAGCTAGTTCCCTATGAGTAGTTATACTTCATATTACTGTCGGAATATAAACACTGCCTCTAAATTGATTGATAGAGTCCATCAATACGGGGTAAGTAACAACGCGAGTCATCAATTTAACTAACTGCTAGGTAACATTAACGTTATATTACTATTTTACAGGTAGTAGCACGCTAATATGTGACGTTATAATACTGTACCAACCCACCTTAGCCACTTTAGCTCGCTGAAATGTCACATTCAGTTTTACAAAAGAATACAAAATAGCTATAGCGTTTTCTCTGTTAAGTGTAAACACAAAGGCTAATGCTATTGTCACAGTCACTAACTTGTTTCTACAGGTCCTTTTAAATTTAGGTTGACCATGTCCAAAGAAGGCGTGAAATGCAGCCTTGTGAAGATAGTGGAGAGTAAAGGGCATAAACCGAAATATGCTGACAAGATTTATGAGGTAGGCTCCATTATCTGGCTCAAACGTGTTGTTTAGGCTTACATTTTGCCCCCATTGTACTGTCTTAATGTTTGTAGCTGATATTATTTGTCTTGTGTTTATACAGGCCATTATGGCGATGCAGTCTGTAGCGTATCTGAAATTCGTTGACGAGGATGATGTTTTGCAGATGGACAAGAAAGACAATTCTTTGTTTGTTTTCAGCAACTTCAACACTCCAGCTTTTCTGCACTGCAAGAAGGTCAAACTCATACTTTGATACAATGGAATTGCTGAAACATTACCGTTTTGAGACTGTTTTCTTTAACACTCTTTGTTATCTGTCATGTAGCTTGACTGCCGAGTGGTGAGTCCACTAGTGGTGGTGTATTGCCTTCAGCAGCAGCGCTGTGTACCCAAAGCACAGAAGCCCATTTATAACATGGCCATGGCTGACATTACTGTTTGCTGCACCAACATGGATAGAGCAACGAGGGTTAGTTCACTGGGTCTGATACCTTGTAGATTGTTGCCTTAGAAGCCAGCAGCTGAATAAATGCCACACACATCAGTGATGATAGGAACGATTGAGACATAAAACACAAGAAAACAAAGCTCTTTACTGCTACAGCAGTAGAGGAAAAGTTACATTAAAAGTAAAAAACATAAATCTAGAAAGCAAGCTAGAATATATTAAAGTGCACCATAGAGCAATAGTAAATAATAATAAAAAAGAATATCTACATAGTTAAGTGGTTTTATGCCAACTCTGACTTATCCATTTTCCTTTCTGTAAGACACATCTTCACTTCATACTTAAAGCACCATAATGTTGCCTGTGGCTTCCTCTATGTCTGCTGTTTGGATGTTTTGGGTAACTTCAGTTTGTATGGTTTACTGCATTGTTATATACAGTAGACGTGGAATAACTGAAAGAGCAGATTTCCTTGCTTTGGTTTTATACAGTCATTTCCAAAATATATTCAGAACACTTCACTTTTTGTACATTTTATTGTGCTGTAGATCAGATAATTTTAAAAGGATAAAATTGCCATTTTCCCCATCAATCAATACATTTTCAGAAATGTTTGCAAACTTAGAAAAAAGTCAAAAAATTAAATCTCAGATTGACATACATTTTTAGACATTTATGACAGAGTGGCCTGACAGAAGCCGTTTTAAGTAAAAGGCATATGACAGCGTGCTTGGAGTTTTCCAGATGACATTTAAAGGACCCTGAGAGCATGAGAGAGACACAAATTGAGCTCTTTAGTTAGAACTTTAATTAATTTGGCTGCCCAGCACCAAAGACTGCTCATTACCTGGCTAATGCCATCCATACAGTGAAGCTTGGTGGTGGCAGAATCATGCCAGGGAGGAAGGAAAAAAAAGAAAGAAATGTCTTTGATTTTTAATAGCAAATCACAAATTATTGCATTTCAATGAAAAGCAGCAAGTCTGAATAGGACCAGCTTGTGTGAGAAATGAATACAGTATTTAAGTATAAATTTTAGAACAATAACGTTTCTCCATATAGGGTTAAGAGAGTTAGCACAGTGTATTTTAAGTATCCGTATGGTTAAGTCTGTCTGAATGATTGCTTTTTTTCTATAGGCAGAGGTGATGGATTTGGTGCAACTCATGGGTGGAGAAGTCCTTCTTGACCTAAATTTAACTGTCACACACCTGATAGCAGGAGAGGTGGGCAGCAAGAAATACTTGGTAGCTGCTAGCCTGCATAAACCCATCCTGCTGCCCACATGGGTCAAAGCCTGCTGGGAGAAATCTCAGGACAGGTACACTCCCATTTAGAAAAGAAATAATAGTTGAAATTAAGATATGACCAATAAGGATATGGAAAAATAATAAACATTGGTCTCTTGCATCTTTTGGTTCCCTCCAGTCTTTTCAGGTATACAGATCTACCCATGGAAGGCTATCTGTGTCCGGTGCTACTTGGCTGTACTGTGTGTGTCACAGGCCTCTCCATCACAGAGCGCAAAGAGGTGGAGCGGCTCTGTGTACAAAATGGGGCCAAATATACCGCTACGCTCAAAGTAAATGAGTGTACACACCTCATTGTTGATGAAAAAACAGGTAAGTTACCAGCAGTTTAAGCACAGTGGACAGTCATTGCCATTACAAACCCGATTCCAAAAAAGTTGGGATACTGTACAAAATGTGAATTAAAAACAGAATGCAATGATGTGGAAGTTTCAAATTTCAATATTTTATTCAGAATACAGCATAGATGACACATAAAATGTTCAAACGGAGAAAATGCATCATTTTGAGGTGATGTTAAATTTCATGGCATCAACACATCTCAAAAAAGTTGGGACAAGGCCATGTTCACCACTGTGTGGAATCCTCTCTTCTTTTTATCACAGTCTGCAAACGTCTGGGGACTGAGGAGACAAGTTGCTCAAGTTTAGGAATAGGAATGTTGTCCCATTCTTGTCTAATACAGGCTTCCACTTGCTCAACTGTCTTAGGTCTTCTTTGTCGCATCTTCCTCTTTATGATGCACCAAATGTTTTCTATGGGTGACAGATCTGGACTGCAGGCTGGCCATTTCAGTACCCAGATCCTTCTTCTACGCAGCCACGATGTTGTAATTGATGCAGTATGTGGTCTGGCATTGTCCTGTTGGAAGATGCAAGGTCTTCCCTGAAAGAGACGACGTCTGGATGGGAGCATATGTTGTTCTAGAACTTGGTCATACCTTACAGCATTGATGGTGCCTTTCCAGATGTGTAAGCTGCCCATGCCACACGCACTCATGCAACCCCATACCATCAGAGATGCAGGCTTCTGAACCGAGCGCTGATAACAACTTGGATTGTCCTTGTCCACTTTAGTCCAGATGACATGGCGTCCCAGTTTGCCAAAAAGAACTTAAAATCTCAATTCGTCTGACCACAGAACAGTTTTCCACTTTGCCACAGTCCATTTTAAATGAGCCTTGGCCCAGAGAAATCGCCTGCGCTTCTGGATCATGTTTAGATATGGCTTCTTTTTCGACCTATAGAGTTTTAGTTGGCAACGGTGAATGGCACGGCGGATTGTGAAACCGTCAATGTTTTCTGGAAGTATTCCTGAGCCCATGTTGTGATTTCCATTACAATAGCATTCCTGTATGTGATGCAGTGCCGTCTAAGGGCCCGAAGATCACGGGCATCCAGTATAGTTTTCCGGCCTTGACCCTTACACACAGAGATTGTTCCAGATTTTCTGTTTTCGCCGCAGCATTGGGGGAATTGGTGATCCTCTGCCCATCTTGACTTCTGAGAGACACTGCCACTCTGAGAGGCTCTTTTTATACCCAATCATGTTGCCAATTGACCTGATAAGATGCAAATTGGTCCTCCAGCTGTTCCTTATATGTACATTTAACTTTTCCGGCCTCTTATTGCTACCTGTCCCAGCGTTTTTGGAATGTGTAGCTCCCATGAAATCCAAGATGAGCCAATATTTGGCATGACATTTCAAAATATCTCACGTTCAACATTTGATATGTTATCTATATTCTATTCTGAATAAAATACTGGAATTTCAACCTTCCACATCATTGCATTCTGTTTTTATTCACATTTTGTACAGTGTCCCAACTTTTTTGGAATCGGGTTTGTAAAAACATTTGTAAGAAAGGGCATTAGAAATCTTGCCTTTCTTGATTGCATGATTAATATTCAGTTATTTTTTTTACTGAATTCAGCAGAAAATTATTTAATAAAATCTTGTTCAATATTAAGAAGTCATGGTGCTTCCTAAAAATAATCACCATAATAATTCCATCTGTATACTTGAACATGGTACTCTTATTGGTATGAGTTTTATTCTGAGTATTTGTATTTAGTTGCAGGTGAGAAGTACCAGTGTGCTCAGAAATGGAATGTGCATTGTGTGTCTCTGCGCTGGCTGTTTGACAGCATAGACAAGGGATTTTGTCAAGATGAGAGGAAGTACAATGTGAAGCTCAAATCATCAAAAGTCACTCAACCGCACACTTCTACTCCTACTGGCACCAGCAAGAAAGATGGTGAGCCACAGACAGAAGGGGCCCTTCTTTGTTCTTTGCTGAATTTTATTTGTATACTTCATCTCCATCAGGTCACAACACGTGCCACTTAACCCTCGTCTTGTGTTAGGGAAGAACATATATCAGAACACATTTTCAATGACCACACGCTGTATGCCCCCCCTCCACACACACACACACACACACATTTATATTTCATACAGGATACCTGGGTTCCCTGGACCCAGGGCTAATAAAAGTGTCTTGCATAATTCAAACAGCTACATCTGCTCTCACATTGACCCCTGAACATTTTAGCATATGTATTGTAACGGTGTTGCATAATAATTTTTTCCACTCATATCTTTATTATAATTAATTTTATAGCAACACTAAGAAAATCCCACAACATTGGCTGAATAACAAAATTCATGTATAAATGTGATAGAACACAGGTAAAGGGCAAATGTTAACCATACAGTGAGGAACAGAAGTATTTGAACACCCTGCGATTTTGCAAGTTCTCCCACTTAGAAATCATGGAGGGGTCTGAAATTCACATTGTAGGTGCATTCCCACTCTGAGAGACAGAATTAAAAAAAAAAAATTCAGGAAATCACATTGTATGATTTTTAAAGAATTTATTTGTCTTGCACTGCTGAACATAAGTATTTGAACACCTGAGAAACAGCAAGAATGCTGGCTCTCAAAGACCTGTTACTGTGCCTTGAAAA